GATTGGTTTTAAACTTTCGCAGTTTTCTACATCATAAACACTATAGTTTGATAAGTTCCTACTACGGTATATTAGTTTTAATGAGTTTCCGATATATCGGCGCTGTTGCAAACGCCACGATCCTGGGCAGATTAGAATCTAATAATATTCAAAATATAGACGATATCTTGAACCGCCTCTAGCTATAATTTTCTCACGTGTGCCGGAAACTCGGAATATACCGAATACCAAAAGTCGTTCACAAAGATATTCACGCCAGGTGGAAATCGACCCGGGGCCCTGATACCCTGGGGCCTTTGATATAAAAACGTTGCTATCATTATCATAGAGCACTTTGTCGTTCAGGACAAAGTAGAAGCCGTCAGACAGCGTGGATGGTTTCCCATGCGATGGACCGACCAGATCAAGTTGGCAGTTGGCGGTTGTTTGCATGAGTGTACCAGGCTCACCATAAACCGGGAGAAGTGGCGATTGCTTGTGAGTCGCATAACATCTGCCCACAGCAATGATATAGAATGACGACCACGACCGCTCTGACAAGAGTGATACGACAAAGAAGATCATCATCATTGATTACTACTTTTTTATTTATTTATTGATTAGTTGGGTGAACGAGCTCACAGCCCGCCTGGTGTTAAGTGGTTACTGGAGGCCATAGACATCTACGACGTAAATGCGCCACCCACCTTGAGATATAAGTTCTAAGGTTACAACGGCTGCTCCACCCTTATAACGCATTACTGCTTCACGGCAGAAATAGACAGGGTGGTGGTACCTCCCCACGCGGACTCACATGAGTGTCCTACCACCAGTAATTACGCAAATTATAATTTTGCGGGTTTGGTTTTTATTACACGATGTTATTCCTTCACCGTGGAAGTCAATCGTGAACATTTGATGAGTACGTATTTCATTAGAAAAATTGGTACTCCCCTGGGATTCGAACACCAGTGCATCGCTCAACATGAATGCACCGGACGTCTTATCCTTTAGGCCACGACGACTTCTATTAACGCAGTATTCAAATTATGATTTCAATGAGACCCACTAGTCGCTTAACCTAAGGTGGCCAGAGAAGTCATCCGCTCGTCAATACATTATAGAGCAAGAGCCCGCGACAGCCAGACCTTCGTTATTTTATAAAAGCTGAAAGTTTCTCTGTGTATGTCTCCAACACAGGTAAGAACGACCCGCGATTATAGAGTTTCGATTGTGGTTACTTGGGCAGGTAACAGGCAGTAAAGGCAGTAAGGATATAAAATAGTACCTTAAATTCGTTAAAGTATAAAGGTTTTTTTTTTAATATTTACTCCAGAATATCTTTAGAAATCACTATATCCGTTGCCGGACACTTTTTCCAGTTGTTACCCCCTGCCAGACACCCCTAAACTTTAATAAATTTTAATTATACTTTCGTTATACTATAAAAGCTAAATTTTATATATGTTATTTAGGGACTTATAAAAATATGTTACCCCAATAGCCGGACAGTTNACAACTGGAAAAAGTGTCCGGCAACGGATATCATGATTTCTAAAGATATTCTGGAGTAAATATTAAAAAAAAAAACCTTTATACTTTAACGAATTTAAGGTACTATTTTATATACCTTTACTGCCTGTTACCTGCCCAAGTAACCACAATCGAAACTCTATAATCGCGGGTCGTTCTTACCTGTGTTGGAGACATACACAGAGAAATTTTCAGCTTTTATAAAATAACGAAGGTCTGGCTGTCGCGGGCTCTTGGGCCATTAGACGTTATTTGTTGCATGCATTGTGCATTATAGATATTGAATAAAGAAATACAGGCTGAGGTTAGAGGCATAACAGTCGTTTTTTTTTATAGTATTGTGTTAAATTTTCACAATCAACAAAACAAAAAGCCTTTAGTTCGCGTTTGTGTGAAAATTGGTGCAAAAATTACTAGTTTTAATATAAATAGTTTGTCTTGAATTAATCAAAAGAAATCGGTACTTATTGATAGTGACTACTTAGTATTTAAAAGGAATAAAATATATTTGTTAATATTTATTAACAAATTAATTTGATATGAATATTTTTTTTTAAATATTAAACAGGTTTATTGATTTGGTACCTAACTTAGATAGACTTTTTTTAATACATTTTTAATAGGCAGACGAGCATACAGCTCACCCGATGGTGAGTGGTTACCATCGCCCATAGACGTCAGAAATGCCAGGGGCATAGCCAAGTCGCTGCCTACAAATACGGGTCAAGCTAATAAAGACAAACATATATCAAAGAATGTGTTATTTTTTCATCATCAGTAAGTGGGCACAGTTTAATTAATGATAAATATCTAAGATATTGTGATCTGCCCTTCGGCGTTCATTTTAATTGAAACAACGTCAGCTCCGTAATCAATCTATCGAGGAAATTCTGATCTACAAAGGGATAAGTTATTGTATACTTCAGTAATTGAATTGTAATTGAATTTATCTTGTAATTAAACTAGCGACCCCCCCTCGCTTCGCTTCGCTTCGGAAACTGTAATTTATGATTGATTTCTCCACTATTTAATGGAAGTTATTATACATATAAACCTTCCTCTTCAATCATTCTATCTATTAAAAAAAACCGCATCAAAATCCGTTGCGTAGTTTTAAAGATTTAAGCATACATAGGGACAGAGAAAGCGACTTTGTTTTATACTATGTAGTGATTAGTATGTGTTAAATATGATCGCCCCGTTGCTGTAGTGGTTATGAGTAAGGCTCACAATATGCGGTACTATCAGTAATAATTCTGAAAATCAGATGTACTTTGAAGTGCTGGTGGTAGGGCGTCTTGTGAGTCTGCACGGGTAGATACTGCTACCCTGCCTATCTCTGCCGAGAAGCAGTAATGCATTTCGGTTTGAAGGGTGGTGCAGTGATCTCGTCCATCAATCTTAGCAGTTAATAAATAAAACGCGATACATGTTCACGAGTGCTCACGGTTTGCTGTATGTTTACAATTTTTTTGATACGTTTGGATTAAGTAATTAATAAGGTAAGGTAGGACCACGAAACCTACACCACGGAACAATGATGCGCTTCGGTATACATCACCGGTCGGGGAACTTTTTTATTACCCCAAAATATTTTTGTGTAAGTTGATATTACCCCATGCCGAAGAACAAAAAAAAACGAAATCGCTTCTTTTTAGCATCTTTCATATTTATAGCCCACATGATAATTTTGAAAAGAAAACAATAACAAAAAATTTAATTTAATCATCATTTATTCAATTTATGTAATACCTAGTAATACATAATGGTAATAATAGTAATATATGTAATATACAGTTGAGTAAAAAAAATCGCACCCACAGAAAATATAAGTCAATGATAATTTCTTGTTATTTGATAATTCATATGATATTTTTCTTGTATTATTAGACGAAAAAACTAGTTTAAATTTTAAATATAGCCCCCATAAAAAAAATTTATTTTATTGAAATGTTTTTTTCGGGGAAACAAAACGCTTTATTGGACTTATTTTTTCGTTTCGTTTCATTTCGTTTCATTTCGTTTGAAATTACAACGATTCTAAAGAAGTTTCACATCAATATATGCTTTTTACTCACAAAAGTTTCATTTTTACCGCCCAAAATTTTATTTTACCCCATTTGGGGTAATTTACCCCGATTCCCCGACCGCTGGTATAGATTTTTCACTTTGAAAATCTTTCAACATATTTATGAAAAATTCAGACTTAAATAATTCAATAACTTACAGGCCTTAGAGTAAATTCCATTCACATTTCTAATATACCTCCGAGCGATATGAGAATTTATCTCTACGGAGCGGAACTAAAATTGTTTAATAACGTCATCTTTGTTTAATACTTGGATGTACATACATTACTGTCGTATGTAAATACGGAAGTCTTTAGTATAGAAACATCATTTCTTATTAAGCCGGGAGAGGATTCGACAGTCCTCGAGATGTGATCACCAAAATAACGCAGTTTATCCGAAAGGTTTTTTTTGTGTTTTCTTGGAGCATATTATATGCATAGAGAAAAATCGATATATTATTAGCGTTGTCTGCAACCCCGTGGAACTTTGTGAGATTATTCTGAATTCTTTAGTTTAAACCTTAAGCTAGTTAACCCTTTGAGCGCGAGCCGTCGATAGATCAACTCCTTGTTGATGCGTATAAAATGCGGAGCGTCGAAATGACCGACTGTTGCGCAGTTTGATTATAGGTATTAAGTATCGACCTGTGCGGACTTCTCATAGCGCGCGTAATTATAACGTTTTTAATGAGTTAATGACCTTTATAAATAACAGTTTAAAAATATTTTGTTGTAAATTTAGCAAGTATTTTGTTTATAATGTCCTTTTTTTAGAAAAACTTTAGCAGCTTCTACAAACTGTATAACTGTAATGTGCTTACTAGCAAGATGTTAATTATGAAGCACATTACTAATCCATATTATTTGTAAAGTGGGTAGATTTAATAACTGACTTTATATACATATATTATAGAGTATAGAGGTGGGTTGCCAGAGTTATTATAAATCAATTGTACACATCAGTTGAAATTTTCAAAGATAGGGAGAATTCACAGTAAAATAAAGCATTAAAAATACCTCTTAATAAATTTGATAAATTATAAAGTCCCAAGAATTTTTAATTACTAACTAACTACCTTCCTCAACCTTTGAATATGATTGACGTTATCTGCCACGCGGTTTCACTCACGTTGAATTTACAATTATTTTAAAAAATAAGGCAACACGTGTGTCATTTTCCGGTATATTCAAGTGGTCTACTTAAAACTCCAGTACGCGATCTCTTTGTAAAAACCATTTATTGATGACAAACAAACACACACTTATGCACATATTTAATATTGTTACAACCCTAATTATTATTACTAATAATGTTAGTAGGCACTAATCTTTCATATCAAACTCTCTAATCAATCTCAAACCATCATGTCAAATAACAATTTAATGCAAAATAAAAACTATAATATCTTCATCTCACCAGCTAGCACGAAGCACCAAGTTATACCGTCCATGGTTATTGTTACTGTTACTGACACAACACAGAGCACACCGTCAGGTGAACCTACCCTCACCACGAAAGAATCGCTTCTGTAGTCACCGTTAACACTGCGACTCGGAGAATGTCTAATTAACGTAAGATTAATTGATATTCAGCGCGTTTCTTGACGCGTTTTTTGCAATGTTAATGTGTTAATACAGAATATGGATGCGATTTGTATATTATTTACGTAGATTTCATAAACTCTTTTGCTTTAAAGAAGCGATAAGTCGAATGCTTTTTAAATGTCAAGAACATGATAATATTATGATAATGTTTCAAAACATTATATTAGAGTAGCAACCCACCTTCGCTTAGCTTCGGGAGCTGTAATTTACAGATGACAGATAGATATATGCTATTACAGACTTTTTTGTAGGACTATTTAGGATAAACATTTCCATTTTACATTGCACATGTTAACTTCAATAGTTTTTGTAGCGCACACCAAAAAAAGTCGCAGATGGCACCACTTTTTCCTACTTACTTGACACTTACTTGACTATATTTCAGTAATTCACACGACATCTTTATAAATTAAAGCCTATGTGTTATTCTGATGTCTAAGCTATATTATTGTAAAGTTTCATAAACATCCATCCATACATTATTAAAAACTTTCACATTTATAATATTAGTAAGATTCTGCAAGAGAACTCCTTTGAGAAAAATTACTTAAGTACTTAATGTGGAAATTCAGAGCTACCTTAGTCAGCACGCTGACCGTCAACGCTAAGAACATTGGACGTTGGGCAGTGACATTGGACCACTGTTACGATGGTCGAATGTCAATCTATACTTCTATACTAATATTATAAAGCTGAAGGGTTTGTTTGTTTGTTCTTAGGAACTACTGCTCCGATTTGAAAAATTCTTTCAGTGTTAGATAGCTCATTTATCGAGGAAGACTATAGGTTATATAACATCACGCTAAGACCAATACAAGAGGAGTACCAATAAAGAATGTTTCAAAATCGGGGTTATTTTTACCTTTTGAGAGCTTCCGCTGCGTGCGCTGCAGAAACAGTTAAAGTTTCGCTAAAATAGTGTATGACTGAATTGTTCCCCTTTAAAAGATCTAAAAAAAAATCTACGACAGTATATGTCTATATATTAAGGTTGGCTCACTATAACGTTTTTTATGCTAACCAAATTTGTTCTAAAATAAAGCATTATTTGTGAAATATTCCACGCGGACAAAGTCGCGAGCAAAAGTTAGTAATAAATAATAATAATGCGGTAATAAATCGGTTAATATGCTATTCCAATAGCTGTATATTACTGTAGTACATATTAGATTGTTCAAATATGTCGCTCGTGATGCCTAAGTGTAATTGGCAATTGTCGTCTACGTGGATCGACGTGGATCGAACCAAAATAGAATTAAGCTGCATAAATAATCTTACCAATTACGAGGCGTTCAGCTCAATATCTCGAGTCAACAGCCCTTATCGGATTAATGCTAGATATTGCTAGTCGATTGAATCGTACTAAGAAACTCTCTTAAGAGCGAAGCCCTATGTTATTGTCGGTTTTGTTGTTTTGATATATTGATAGACGAATCAATTTCGAAAATCCTTTGTTGATTAAAAGCTCAAAATGCTACGCAAAAGCTGTTCAGTTGTGCACAAAAAAATTATCAGTTTTTTTGGGAGACCAGCTTACTATTTTAGTTTTTTTTTTTAATAGCTTAGATAGGTGGACGAGCTCACAGCCCACCTGGTGTTAAGTGGTTACTGGAGCCCATAGACATCTATATCGTAAATGCGCCACCCACCTTGAGATATAAGTTCTAAGGTCTCAAGTATAGTTACAACGGCTGCCCCGCCCTTCAAACCGAAACGCATTACTGCTTCACGGCAGAAATAGGCGGTCTGACAAAAAAATTAAAGTATTCGTTTTCACGAATCGCTTAGAAATAAAACTGTTTTTGCAGTTCACGGTCCGCAACAACGACGGTCAGGCAAAGCTATAAAGTATCCAAAACGTAGAAAAGTAAAAATCTCGATATGCCGTAACATTGGTTTTATTTAAATAATTCTATAGTCAACCGTAGCCAAACTTCAGTTGGGATAGCTATTATCTATATACATATAGAAAACTCAATGTATGTTTCCTATAGACTCCGAAAAGGCTGAAACTATTGCGATGATTTTTTTTGATATTATTCAGATTTATCTAAAGCGTGATCTTGTGAAGTTTCATAGCGATCGGCCAGCAAAGCGGGCCGGATATGACAAGTACAATTGAGGTTTGAGCCTCATGCCTCAAGACTAATCGCTGCGGGTCTATTCACTCCGATAACCAGCCTATATCAGGTGAACCGTGAACTCGATTACCTATCTATGCAATAAAATAAAATAAAAGCACCGAATGGAATAATACTGCTTTTCTTAACGCAATGCATACAAATTCTGCTTAGATCAATACGACTGAAACGCTACGAAAGTATTGAGATTGCTTGAAGACTTACAATCAGCTGTGGACGTTGTTGATCGAAGTCCACGACTATAAAAAAGGAACCGTTATGTATCGTGAAGTAAACTATAATCTACTAACACCAAATGCTTAAGACCTTGCGCCTCTAATTAAGAACTATTTGCCTTATTTGAAGTAGGTTAAAGCCTAATTTTCAACACAACCAATTAAACAATGCAATTAAATTAATTTCAACTGCATATGTGCGAATAACATATCATAATTGGCATGTGAACATTAAACAAAAAAGTTGTCACTCATGTATGTACCAACTCCGAGTCATTACGTTATGAAAGTACAAACGACAAGACGTAATAAGATCAAATGATGCAATTACGTGCAATAGAATTTCATCTGCTGTACTTACGCTAATGGATATCGATAAAAACTTTTTAATTCCCCTGACGTGCGAATTCATGCGCTCAGCCAAATTGGATCATTGGTTGTCGCTCCTATGACTTGACAGAGCTTATTGTACCTTTAACCGCCGCTATCATAGGTCCGAAGATAGTTTGCAGAGATCTGAATCGCGCTAGCGACTTTCTTAAGATCAACTTGCATATAGATAAGCTCCGAACAATAACATGGACATGTCGAAATAGAGCCGAAGAACTCGTTACTCCTTCCGCCTAAATAAGGTCTAGGGGTCAGTGTTAGCAACTCTCCGGTTGAGCCCCGCGAGCTCACCTACAAACGTTAGGGCGAAGCTGAAATAGCCTCTTAAGGCTATCAGCATAGGTAGGAAAAAAAAAAGGTTCTGTCGTCGCCCCGCTTCTGTTCAATCTGTACTTTAATAATATCCTCTGATCACCGCTGAACCAGCTAGCCAGCCTCTTCGGCGTTTCCACAATTGTTTAGATCCTTTATGAAGCTTCAAACCGCAGACATAAATAATCCTCCGATAGTTTAGCCGAACGAGGAGAATCGAACTTAATCTTACATAAAGTATAGCAATGCTCTTCGAAAAGGGCAGCGAAGGAATATTGGAGCACCACTCCCCCGATAATCCTCTTTAAACAACCTATATTCTGACAGGACAGAAAGTCTCAGTTACCCTGGATAACTCTATCACCTTCTATCCTATGATCAAGGTAAACCATTATCGCGTCGCGTTAACGAGGAGAATTGAACTTAATCTTGCATAAAGTATAGCAATGCTCTTCGAAAAGGGCAGCGAAGGAAGATTGGAGCACCACTCCCCCGATAATCCTCTTTAAACAACCTATATTCTGACAGGACAGGAAAGTCTTAGTTTCCCTGGATAACTCTATCACCTTCTATCCTATGATCAAGGTAAACCATTATCGCGTCGCGTTCATCTCAGGTAAACTATATCTGATAATCTGCAAACCGAGCAAACTGCTCCTATATAGCAAGATGCCTTTTTTTCCCCTACTTATTTATGCTGATAGCCTTGAGAGGCTATATCAGCGTTACCCCAGCGCGTAGGTGAGCTCTTGAGGCTTAAACCGAAGGTGTTGCTAACTCTGGCCCTAGCAAGAGTAGTGCTTCGCAGAATCTACCTCCGGATCGGAACTGCGACCCACTGAAAAAATCCGGCGAGTGGCTCCGCGGCTCAGTGGGCTGTGTGTGTGGGCTAATTTACTCGTCGAGCCCTTCGTCGCGAGCGACGGGTTCGACGAAGACGGTGACCGGTGCTTAAGGTACCTAAAAGCACCGTTAATGGATCGTGAGGATCCGTAATGGCGTGTTTAGGGCGACGTCGACTGTTTACCATTCGGTCCACAAGATCGGGTATGCATAAAAAATGTATTTGTAGCTAAAGTATGAAACAGAAAGAAAATGTATAATATAAAATCAAGTTAGAGATATACTACTCTCTATTTAGAGTACACAGAATACTTGCCGAAACATGACCTAATGAAGTCCATAAAACACATAAACTTTCTCATTTATAGAGGCATAATCATTGTACTATTACTTACAATTGGCATGTGCCCTTTGCGTGTTAAAGACGACAGATCCATGAATTCAGTGATTAACCAAAGTTGCATAAATAAATAAATGAGTTATGCAACTTTCACAGCATAAGATTATTTATTGCTCGAATAATTGTTGTTTATAATTACCATATGTTGTGCTTTTGTTGTTTTTTTTTTGTATAACGCGAATGATGAGTCTCGAAATTCGAGACCGCGTTGTGTGTAATTCAGTAAACTTCTAACAGCCGACATAAAACTAGGTTTTTTTATTGAAGGTTTACTGGTGGCCCGGAGGCCTTTCCAGTTTCATCAGGACAGATGGGCGAGTAAAGGCTATTGAAAATAGCTTTGTAATTCTATCTTGTAAAATTTTGAACTATCAATATTCTCACATGCAATAGCAACACTACCAGTGGCAACTCAGAGATTTACTAGATGGCGTTACTAAATTCGTGTTTCATCAGGGTTCCTATCTCTATAGATCTACCTATCCGTCGGGTCTACACGACCCATTACAGGGTCATGGATCGGGCCTCGGGGCAAACCCCTTCTGCCCGGGCTTGCGATTCCTGCCGAACAGGACGGGATGGTAGTCAGGATAA